TGAGGCTGGCTGCCAGAGCCTTCAGTGCTGCATACTGCAGCAGTGGCATGAAGCTGCCTAGTGCACTGTGAAATTTGGGGCAGTTTGGTGCCCCACCTTTTGTGGTGCCTTAAACAGCTGCATTTTCTACATACTGGTAGGGACAGCTTTGTGTAGAAGTCAGGGACGTTCCCCACAGAGCAGGACCATGCCCCCATTTACATTTAGGGGTGCTTGTCAGGCACTGTAGGTCTTTTGCTTTTTTTCACTGCAGAGTTAGAGCCAGAAGTGTAACTGGATTCCTGGAAATCCTGTCACTGAAGAAACAGTTTTTTTCCCCCCGGCCAAAGATTTTATGAACAGGGGAACTGAATCATCCCAATTAGAGAGAAAGGAGGGCATGTGGCCAGGAGAATGAGATCAAAAGCAGGGAGCCGGGAAGATTGCAATTATAGGAGGGTGCTGGAACCTTGCCCCCATCCTCCTACTTCTACAAGGCCAAAGCGTCAGAGGCAGAGACAAACCCATACCTGCTGTCATGAGCAGTACGCGAACTGCCTGTTGGGAGACTAGTCCCCAGGCCTTCCCCTTCTGCCTGAGGCCCTGGCCCATCCCATTCCTTTGCCAGAGCACCTCCACCAGGGCCATTAGCCCTCAGCCCCAAGCCACCCCAGTGCCCACCCTGAGAGCAGCAGGCAGGCAGCCCAGAAGGCCAGGGAGCCTGCCTGGGAATAAATGGAAGTAGAGAAGGAAGGGAACTGAATGGGGAGGCAACAACAGCTGGAAACAGTAAAGTACCAGGAGGAAAGAATCTGGGGCCAAGCAGCAGTGGTTTGGGGAAAATATGCTCAAGTCTGTGTGTTAGGGAAGACTGAGTAGGATTGCTGAGGAAACTGATTTTGAATGTGCATCAAGACTGATGTTTGACTGTATCAGAAACTGATGTTGGGTGTGTGGAATCATTTTGTTTTGGGCTGTTGTCCATGTCATCGCCCTACGGCAGCAGTTGTGCCAACTCTCATGCTTTTATCCTGAGCTTCTGTGATGTTTGTTGTTTTCCTTAGATGCCCAGCTCCTGGCATCAGAATCCTCAGAGTCATTTGAAAATTGCAAAAGCGACGAGAAGTCCTGTGGCACCTTATAGACTAACTGAAGTGTAGGAGCATAAGCGTTCGTGGGCAAAGTGGGTCTTTGCCCACGAAAGCTTATGCTCCTACACTTCAGTTAGTCTATAAGGTGCCACAGGACTCCTCGTTGCTTTTGCAGATTCAGACTAACACGGCTACCCCTCTGATATTTGAAAATTGGTTTCTAGACTTTATGGTAGGAGAGAGAAACCTGTATGCATAAAATCTAAAGGCTCAGACATCTCAAAGGCAAATAGACCCATTTGTTATTTTTAAAAAGCTTAAGATTTTAAGCCAATCTTTTGATTTTGTGGGAGCCTAATTCATTATTTTTTAAATCTTGGGATTGGCAAGACAGAGATGCAGTACATTTTACTGTAAAGATTTGGATACCATGCACTAGACCAGTAGTCCCCAACCTTTCATGGCTGCCGAGCGCCCAGGGGCGTGGCCACTCATGTGCCATGCATCTGGGGGTGGGGCCACTCACATGCTGCACTTCCGGGGGTAGGGCCACACATGTGCCGCGCGCCCGGGGGCAGGGGCCGTCCACACGCCCTGAGCCCAGGGCCGTCACCATGCATGTGCCGCGCACCAGGGGTATGGGCCGCCCATGCGCCACGCTCCTGGGGCTGGCACCATGCATGTGCTGCGCGCCCGGGGCAGGGGCCACCCATGCACCACGCACCCGGGGCCGGCACCACGCATGTGCCACGTGCTGGGGGCGGAGCCAGCCCAGATGTCTCGGCGGGCGCACATAAATGCCCCACGGGCACCGCGTTGGGGACCACTGCACTAGACCCTTGCAGTTAAAAAAAAAAAAAATCAGTAACTGAAAACTTCTATCAATAGAAGTTGCATTAGCTGTATATGAATACAACTGTGAGTTAATGCAACATGGATTCTGGAAACACGTATCACTTATCCCTGGAAAGCCATGGCAGAGAAAGACAATACATTCCATTATTAAACTAATTTACAGCGATGCTAAGAATGCTCTTGCAAGTTAGTTTTGTTTCCCCTGATTACTGTCTGAGAATGTGGTTGGCGTCAGTGACAAGTGTAAAAGAAGAAAAACGAAACACACCATGAAATCAATTCACAGCAATGCCACCTGCAGGATGCTTTGAGTTAGTTTCATTTCTCCTGTTTTCTGTCATCACCAGCTCTACCCACAGTACAAAGCATAGAACAAAGATAATCTGTATTAGTTTCCTTGGACTGAGGATGAAGCAGGTCAGAATTTTTCTGTCTCCTCTTTTCAGTAAGTATTTAAACGTTTGTATCTCTTCATATCTGAATGTGGGTCGGTTGGCAGATGCTGCAAGGAAATCTGAAATGAGAGGAATAAATAAATTACTGAACCCAAACTTTTTTTCTCTATGAAATTTTAACTCTCTCTACGAGCATAAGGACACAACATACAAAATAAATACAACATTTGCTATCTCTTTATGACGATGTGCTAAATTGTTAAAGAATGATGCATTTTTAGAGGAGGTTTGAGAGACAGCCTGGATAACCCTCCAATAGCTTTCAGTGCTGTGAGCCCTTAAATTTCCTTGCAGTGCCTGCCAGACTTTCATTTTCTGTGTGGGGCTGCATGAAGTATAACAGGGGATGTGATTTAGACATAGGTGTAACTTGACTTCTTCTATATTGGGGGGGGGGCAGAGGGTAGGGGACTTATACTTACTATTAATAGTGTTAACTTCCAGATTTACTGATTGACAGACCCCTCCAGACACCCCCACAGTTGCATAAGAGAACCCCCATATCCCATCCTCCTTGCCCCAAGGAGGGGCCGACAGACCCCCTGTACCCTATTTGGACTTCCCCAGATGCTGCACCTCTACTCTGGGAAGGGATGAAAGGCCCCCTGGATCCTGCATCCTCCTGCCCCAAAAGGAGGGATTGACAGATCACCCCTCACTCCCAGCAATGATCCCCTCCCCTACATTTCCATAGGAAATGCTCCAGAGCCTGCTGTCCTCTGGACTCCCTCCCACCCCCCCA